TTGTTTATGAATAGGTTAAAAGTTATTAACTTGTTTCATTTAAGCATCTTAGTTCTATATTTAGTCTTTTATAACCTCAATATCTTTGCAAAACCTAGCATATCATCATTTCACAAAAACATATCATAAAAAATAATAAAAAAAAAGAATTACATTACAGAATGACATATCAAAACGAAAGCTCAACATTGACACAACAATATATTTATGTCGATATTTGGACTGTCATTCTGTTTTATAACATAAGAACAGAGACAATAGTGTCGAGATTTGATTGAAAATAAATTGAATTGTGTTTCTTACGCGGTTCAATGTGTCAAAACGATTTATTGGATTCTTCTTTGAAATGTAGGAGCGATGTGCTGGAAAAATCTTGAGATGTGGACGTCTTTAATATGACATATAAACCGTGTCTAGATTTGTAGAAGACATATCTAAAGCTAGGCTTTATTGGTGATATATATATTTTAAGTAGGTAGGGTTTTTGTTTTACGTAAACGACCAGACGGATCACCTGATGGTAAGCAAAGAATGGCATGGAATGAAAAATGGAATTGTGCCCGGTATATGGCAATAGGCTCACCCCCTATTACATGGGACTCATAACATAAATGGTGAAAAGTGGGTGTTGCATTGTACAGTGGCATTAAGTGGTGTAATGTGCATCTTTGACTACCCCTTCGGGGATAAGAAGCGTGATGGTGTGTTATGTTATGAATAACTACTTTTTATTGGATCAGTAATTGTAAAACATGTAAATTAAGAAGGTATTCTGTAGGTACTTTCGGAGTCGCGGAGAACCTAACGGGTTACCGGGGCTCCGGCTCAAAGCGCAGGAGAAGAAACGGGGTGGTTTTTAGTCAGTAAGAGTCTGACACTCCCTCCCGCCTCACCCAGGCGGGAGTAGACATTCGATGATTATCTTCCCTTAAAAAAAAACCTGTAGGTACTTTAAACCAGTTTGTGAATCGCTGCACATCAGCGTGTCGTCCTGTACGTAAATTCATCAATCACCTAATTTATAAAGTTCATTATTCTTAAAAAAAAATTGAATACCTAAAAATATTAAAATACTCATATAACAGGGTATAGGCAGCCTTTTCAAACGCCTGACAATATTCTTCTGCAACTCACCTAACTAAATATTGCTATAAGAAAATCAACAGGTCAGATTCCTATTTCACCTTGTATGATAAAAATATCAAGAACCTTATAAGTATAAAAATAAGGTCTGTAATACAATTCCCGTTTTATAAATATCTAACCGCCCACATCAGGAATAAAGTCCGTGACATTTTTGTTCCACTCGACTTGAGCTTATTTGAGACAAAGATGTTTAGAAAATTTACTTTCAGTATACACCCATTTAATTTTATACAACCTTCTTTATCGAGTTTTGTATATGGCTGCCTCATTGGCGGAGTGATCGCAAGTGCGACTGCGGGGCAAGGGGTCTCGGGTTCGATTCCCGGGTCGGGCAAAGTATTACTGGGTTTTAAAAAAAATCTCAGTGGAAGCACCGAGTCTGGGATTGTGGCCGGTACATGGCAATAGGCTCACCCCCTATTACATAGGACTGATAACATAAATAGTGAAAAATGGGTGTTACATTGTACACCTCTGCATAATGTGCACCTCTGCCTACCCGTTCGAAGATAAAAGGCGTGATGTTATGTTATGTTATGAATGACTGTCGTGTACTAAGTCAGTTTCTTTCTTGGCTGGCTCGGAAATTCTCTCAGTAATAGCATGGTTTTTGAAATTGTGCCTGGTGTAGGTTGATAATCATATAACCTCCTGTTATATGCTAGGTACTCATAACATAACCGGCAAAAAGTGGTTCGAAATGATTAAAAGACATCATCTTCATTAACAGCCGCAAGACCTCCACTGCTGGACAAAGACCATAGTCCTCCACGTCGTTTCGAAAGTGACCAAACTTATTGCTACCTAGAATTTACTACTTAACTAGTTTTTTTTATGGAATAAGGAGGTAAACGAGTAGACGGATCTCGTGATGGTACGCAATCGGCGCAGCCTATGGACACCCGAAACACTACAGTTACAAGTGCGTTACCGGCCTTTTGGGGATTAGAAATTTGAGGTTTATTGGGGGTTCGGGGATTGAGACTCTGGCCCGTTTGTGACGAAGCATGGCTCTCCAACCTTGTGATATAGTAATTACCTCTATAATATATCTGATTAACATTAGATATCTTGTGGGCAAAATAATAAAATATTGCTTTTCTCTGTAACAATCAACAAGATGTCCACTACTGAACGTAGACTCGTACTTCTTCAATGTCTTTTTTTTTTTTTTAATGGGGGAAAATCATCGAATGACTGCTCCCGTCTGGGTGAGGCGGGAGGGAGTGTCAGACTCTTACTGACTAAAAACCACCCCGTTCCTTCTCCTGCACGTCGAGCCGGAGCCCCGGTTACCCGTTAGGTTCTCCGCGACTCCGAATCGGCATCGGCCTTATTGGGCCCCATCTGTGGTGGTCTGATGGCTCTTTGAGGCGCGCGCGGAACGCGACGCGCCGTACGCTCGGGTCTGTTTCTGGTCGGACGGGGAGCCACCCATGCTCGCCGTCCGCAGGCCCGCGCTTACGGTGGCCGGAGATCGTCCCGCGATCCCCGACGCCCGGTGTGTCCTTCGCGATGGCTGGGTTGCGAGGAGGCAGCGCTTCGCTGCCTCACGCGTCCCGCCTCCTCCTTAGCTAGCATGACTGCTTCGCAAAAGGAGGAGACGGCATCCTAATCCCCCTCGCTCCGCATCATGGCCTGCACTAGGCCCGGACGCGAGAGGTCGCCATCGCCGATCACTTCCCTGAGGACACGGCGGTGCTCAGCCCACGAAGGGCATTCTCCCACCGTGTGTTCCACCGTGTCCTCAGGGCTTCTACAATGTCTTACGGATCGACGACCTGCATCTAGCGATGCCCTGAAACCCTTTTCAGGTGCTCTGTCTACCATATAAACGGTGGACATTTTGTAAAAATATCTTCTATCTTCTACATAACATATCTAACATATCTTATCTTATTTAATGTAATTTTCAGAAGAAAAACGTGACGTATGAAGTGTTCACGGATCCAAGTCTGTACTACGACTGGGACAACTGGAGAAGAAATATTGTGAAGAGCCTCCGACTGCCAGATACTTTGCGAGGAGCTTAGCCATGTCTAGATTAATTGCAGTTGTTTTAAAATGGACTAGTATAAAAAACAATAAATCCATTAGTATTTATCTGAGTTGTCATTTATCATAATGCTGAATCCTTGATAAAGAACAAAGTTTGACAGTCGCGTTGGCCGAGTGGTCGCAAGTGCGACTGCCGGGCAGGGTTACATACTCCTTATTGGGTTCATTGGAATTTCAGTA